GTTGTTTCCTCAGGTTTTGGGGTGGTGGGAGATTCAGCCTCAGTTGTTGGTGCCTCAGTGGCCTCAGGGGTTGTTTCCTCAGGTTTTGGGGTGGTGGGAGATTCAGCCTCAGTTGTTGGTGCCTCAGTGGCCTCAGGGGTTGTGTCTTCTGTTGGGGGGATGTTGGTAGAGTCCCCTTCAGTCGCTGGTTCCTCTGTGGCATCTGGGGTCACATCTTCTGGTTTCTCTGTGCTGGGCAGTTCTTCAGTCGCTGGTTCCTCTGTGGCATCTGGGGTGGGGTCGGCTCCCTGTGGTGTGGTGGAGGGATCTGTCTGGGTTGTCGGTGGCTCTGTGGCTGCAGGGGTTGTCTCTGCTGCTTCTGTAGTTGGAGCAGGAGTGGTCTCTGGGTTTTCCAGTCCAGTGCCAGGATCTGTGGGACAAATACAAATGAGTTTCAGCTCCTGGAATTGCTGTGCGTGTGGCTGTGGTACACAAATGTATTGCACATCTGGCAATAGGTAGTGTTGTTGAATAAGTATATCTTTTAGGAGGGCAGAGCTCCCCTGGGCCAGGTTCCACGTGAGTCCCTGTGGTCCTGGGGACTCTGCAGCCGCCTGGCTCCGTTTAATTGTCCCTTTGCTAAGCTGTGGATGCCTGGGGGCAGCGCTGCAGGGTTTGCTTTGGTGCTTGTCAGGTGAGCCTGCCTGGGGGTTCCTGCCTCCTCCATGCTATGAAAGACAGTTCTTCTAACAAGGCACTGCCCTTCTCAGTCTGTTATTTTGATTTATTCCACTGCCCTTCAATGTAACTTAGTGTGTACCGATGAGCTGAACTTGCAGGAGGGAGATTGGGAAACAGGAGGAAAATAATTCCTGAATACAAAGTCCTGATTGCATCTCCTACTGTATCTTTATATCTTGGATGGTTTTCCTCTTTGTGATTTATGGCTTTAAGGCTCTCTTTACTGATATTTATAGTTACATTGACTTGGGTCAAATTGTTAGCGTTCAGCAGAAAGGAATAGTATGTGTTTCTGCATTTCAGTCTTTAAGTATCCTGTCTCTGAAGTTTTGCTGTTTAGCTCTGTTTTCACACAGGTTTTGTGTTTGATCTGAGCAGAGCATTGCAGAACAGGTTTTACTCCCACCCAGCAGGTCTGAAATAGCATAACCCATAATCCTGATAATGGTCATATGAATTTCCTTAATTTTCTTTCATTTAACCCAGTATATTGATTTTTTTTTTAATAGAAAATTGCAACAGCAGAAAGGTAAGTACTCCAAATCTAAAACAACTTAAAAAAAAAAAAGGGGGGGGGGTGTTTTAAAATATTGGCGAGCCAGTACTGACTTTTAGTCTCATTTCATTCTTGTAACTTAAAGTTTCAAGTTCAAACTGATCTCCTGAGTTATCACTTCAAATGCTGGAACACAATACCAAAGAACACAGCAAAGCAACATATTTTCCAGTCAGAAAACCCAAATCATGTGTTCTCTGAAATTGCATAAGGCCTGGCTTGATTAAAGCTAGGGAAACCTGCTAGGGCATTTTCCTGTCTTGGTCCTGACAGTTCATCACTGTCCCAAAATACAACACCCTTCCTTTCCCAGCCATGGCCCTTGTCCAAAACTGACAATGGTCTGTTACATATTTTGGGAAGATGTGTGTGAAAATCCATCAGAGGCACCGGAGACATCACCACACTGCACCATCTGTGCTGAGTGAACTCTCCGAAGTCCTGAGGGCTCGCTGAGGTAATTGGTTTATAAACCGAGTGGTTCCAAGCTTGGTAACTGTCTGGTAATGTCTAGGATTGGCTTCCTATTTCCAGAGCAGGAAAATGGTCTTTAATGTTGCTTTAGGTAACACCCATCCTGTTTCACCCATATACTTGCCTACCTTCCACGGCTTCCTCTGGCAGCTTTTCCTCATCGGTGGATGACCTTTTAGACGTTGATTTGTTTTCTGGGGGCGTCTCCGGGCTTGGCTTTTCTGTGTGTGCTGAAAGAGATAAATATTTCCATTAGGTGATCGTTTCTTCTTTGTGGGTACTTGGTGTCAACTGCCTAAGAAGAAAGTGATTACAAAATGTCAGTGACCATCTTCCATATAAGTCTAAGTTTCTTCCTATCTATAGGACTCTTTACACTGTTATTTATATGAAAAAGTTCAAAAATACCCTTTGGATCCCAAAGTGTTTCATCAACAGGTGGGAGTGGTGTTTTACCCAGGACTGTGAGGTGAGGCATACTTGCCTAATGGCAATTTTGAGGTGGGAAAAAGGTAAATTATGAGTGGAATTCTACATTCTGAATATTTGACTTTTTTTTTGACTACAGATGATTTGGGACTAAGTCGCTATAGTGAAACTTGGGGAGTTGTCATGCTAGTCAAGTATTTACTTTGATAATCTCCTAAAGATTCGGTTACACTGCAGTTCTTCAGGTGTGATAATTCTACATAAATGATCTTTTTTGAGAGACATCTCGATAGAAATAGTTTTCTTGAAGGAGACAGGAACTACAAAGCAGGCATGGCCCAAAGAAACAACACAAGGTATCAGTACTAAGCTAACTTCTAGTAGGCTCTGGTTTAGGAGAAACAGGAGGTTGTGCTCAGATTTTCCAGCTCTGAAAAGTGTGTGGGGTTTCACTTGCAGCCAGTAAGAGCCAGATAACATCTTGTAATTAATTGTTGGGTCAAACTGTACAATTGGAAATGAGCTACAGGCTTAGGCTTGTACAACTTGTTAGTTGTGAAGGAAGTGCGATGGAGCTCAGGGAACTGGCTGAGTATTTTTATCCAGCCAAAGGAGCTGGTAACTGCCAGAGGTGTGTGTAATCAGCTTTTGACAAAACGAATGGGATTTTTTTGTCTCAAAGTGATGACCATGGTGTCAAAGGATTTATTTTCACAGCACACTCAAAGCAAGGAAGGTTGGGTGTTGGACTATATCCTGAAGCTGTTATTGAGGGAGAAAAATTGTAGTTGTTGAATAAAATCACGCTGGGAGCTGAAAAGGCTTTCAGAGGAGTCAGTAGTGGTGGAGGGGAATGTTTGGTTAGTCCTTAGCTGTGCACGTGTGTATCCAGGGGATAAGGGGCTTCTGGAGGGTAGGGAAGGTAGTGATGATAGGTGATGTACACTTGGTTTTGCTGTACAGAACAAAATGTTCAGAAGATGCTGAAACAGCAAATTTATTCCAAGAGGTTTACCAGATTTCTCAGTTATTCACACATAATATAAACACTAAAATATTGAGTACAGTGGTAGGCTGGCTTTGAGGATTCTTTGTTGGTTTTTGTTTGTTTGTTTGTTTTCAAAAATTATATACTGGAGCTTAATAAAATACAGAAGAAACTCTCTAAGTTTAGGAACAGTTGATTAATTTTTCATTATAATTGAACTGAAGAAAAGAGAAATTATTTGATAATCTTTTGTGAGTGTTTGGGTGTGTTAAACTTGGCAGAAAGAGGGAGACATGAAACAACCTCAAAGGCAGCCAATTCACCCCAAGACGCTTCCAAGACACTCATTGTCCTCTAGACATTCAGTCAAAAATGGTGACTACAGACTCTGTTTCAGTCTAGATGGCTGTGTAACTGCCTGGCAAGGCCCAGCTCTGTCCCAGGGCCTGGGGACTGGGAGTGTTGGGTGCAGTGCACTGAATGCTAATCCCTAACTCCTGCTGTTTGTCACACCGCAGGCTCTGGGAATTGGCTGGTCTGGGAATGCAGCGACCCAGTGCCAGGCCATATGTGCCCAGTGTGCTCACAGAAGGGGATCCAGGTCTGAAGGCAGACCTAAGTAAAGTTTAAGGACATGGTGAAATTAAACACCTTCATGTCTTGGTGATGGCTTCCAGCATATCTACCTGTATGTGTGCACAGTGTGTCCACGCTTGAGAATCTGGCCAATTTATTTGTGAAATTAGATTTTAATTTTTTTTCAGTGTTTTTTTTTTTTTGTTACCCTTCAGTTCTCGTGTCTCAAGAAGCCTGCAGAGTTTGTTTTCTGAGAAAGCAAAGCACCTCTGTTTTTGGATGTCTTTGAAAAACACAGTGAAAAAGCAGTTTCTTACCCTCTTTGCAGTGCTTGGCATAGTCCGGGCAGCATTTGCCGTAGCGCTCGCAGTCGGCATCGCAGTCGCACTCTCTTCCTCTCTCGAAGGCCTCGAAGCACCGTCCTTCACAGGAGGGTCCTGCACGAGGCACAGCAGCAGAGTCAGGCTGGGAACGTTAGCACCTTCCCATGGGGAATGTTTGCTCTGGATGGTGTAAAGAAGGGCCTTGGAAAATCAGGTGCTTATTCTGCTCTGCCCCAGGGTTTGTGGGTGGAACTGTGGGGTTGGGATCAGGCTGTGCAGCCAGAGCTGCGCTGTCACACTGCAGTGGATTGAAATCATTCAGGTTTGTGGTGGAACAGAACGTGATCCCCACCTTCACTTCAGCCAGGTCTCCATTCCCTCCCCAGAGAGCAGTGACCTCAGGCATGACAGTTAAATTCTGGGTTGGCTTTGCAAAAAGGTCTTCATCAAAGTACTGCTTTGCATCAGGAGTGATGTGTCTATCAAAGCATTTCTGAAAAAAAATTGGCCTGATCAGGTCACAGCCAAGTGTACCTGGTGTGTCTGGCCAAATATTGCAGCTTAATTGTGGGAATGAGTTAACTAAGTTACCCAGAGTGACTAGAACTGTTTAATGCAGTTCTGAAATTATTAATACTAAAGGAGTATCTACCATGTTTTGACATGATTAATACCCACACGGGTTTAATATTTTATTATTGGTTAACTTCTGACAACTTTGGTCACTACAGTGCTTCTATTGCCTATCAAATAATTTTGATAAATCAGATTGTTTTGGAAAAATGTGCACAGCTATTACAGCCTTCAGAAAAAGTGCTTCTGTACAGAAGTCTCTACTGAAGTCATTATCTCTGTGACACCCAGGGCATAAAAGCATGTTTTACAATTAAATCACTACCTAGTAAAATGAGGATTACTGTGTAGGCAGACTCTGAGCATCTTTTTATTACTGTAGATGTGGAATCAGTCTGTTGATGCTAGTGGATTCATCCCACATGCACAGGTAAGAATTGTTTTTATTTTATGACGTTAGGGCAGTTTTTATTCATAAATGGCATTTCTCTAATCTAGTCAGCATTGATGCCACACTAACTGGGCAGCAATCCTTAGTCAGACTGCCTGCATCCTTTCAGGATGACACCTACTGTGCTTGCCTGAACTCACTGATTTAGAGTAGAACAGGGAAGACTTTTAGCCTTAAATATTTGATCAAATGTTATGCAGATGCCAGGACACCTTTAGAATCCGATCCACAATTAATTAATAGCCTACATAATAAAGTGCCTCAGTATGTACTTTCAGCTACAAGAAATGTTGATGTTCCCTCACATATCAAAATGAGGATGGGCAGAACTGAAGTGCAAAGTGTTTCCAGTGTGTGTCAGGGCAGCAGAACTGGAATTTTAGGGAGTGCTGTGTCTGCATTTTGAACAACACTCGGCCTGTGTTGGTGGATCTGAGAAGTCTTATGTCACCCCTGTAATCCTACTGGAACTACAGTGTAGTGTAACAAAACTGCAGTTATCCAAGAACTGATACTTCTGACATTAGTACTTCCCAAGAAAATGGTTTTTAACTCTCAGCAAACAATAGCTGTCTTTATTTACATTGTGTGGGTTTGTAAATAAATAAGGCATAAAGTAATAGTCATTGAACCATCTTTTCCAGCAAACTCTGGACATGGTTCTGATCCAGAGTCAATGTCTGTCCATGGAAGGACAGCCTCTGGCTTTGGGTTAGACCCTACAGCATCCACACTTCTTCAATTTCAGCTGGAATGTGACAGAATTTCTCCCTGTAAAACCCTGACTTTGCTTTTACCACTTTTTTTTTGAGTAAGACAGACAGATACAGTACAAATGCACCAAGGAACAAAAAACAAGCAGTAAACTGTTTCTCCCCCTCTTGCCTAACTCTGCTGTTGTAAAAAGCAAAACCTTTGGCTTGGGAGTAACCTGCGGATACACAATTTCCTTTGGATTGTGAGAGGTTATCCTTGAGTTTTTGAGGAGGAGAACAACACATGGATGAGAGGGAACAAGGACACAGCGAACTAACAGACATTTAAGCATTCAGAGAGAAGACCTGGTGCGGTGGGGAGCTGGGAGGGGGATTTTGGGGAGAGGAACTGGCTGTGTTTGGGAACTTACCCACTGTGCAGACTTTCCTGAAGTCAGGGCAGCACTCCATGTAGTGGTGACAGTTAAAATCACACTGGCAGTCATGCTCTCTAGAGTACCCTGCCCCACATCTCCCTGTACAGCTGGACACATCTAAAATCACACAACACTGGTGTCAGCGTGGCCAAACCCCCGTGGGGCCCGAGGGAAAGCTGGACAGCAAAGGAGCAAAGCTGCTCTGTTTCCCTGCACAATGGGCTCCCTGCCCTCAGCATTGCAGCAACTCCTGAAGGTGTGTGGAACAGAGCTTTGCTCAGGGGCAGCATGTGCACCTGCAGCAGCATGTGTTGGGGTCCAGGGGGGTCCCCTGGGACTGACTGACCCTGCTGCTCCTGAAAGCCAGTGAATCCTTGGGGACTGGTTCTGGAGCATGGCCACAGGCATCTAAACCAGCCTGTACCTTAGACAGTACATCAGCCAGGTGCTTTGCTGCTTTGCTGACTTATTCTCCATCTTCATTCACCCTGCCTATGGTTATAGGTGTGAGTGTGCACAGCTCTCCCTGGCACACCCATTAGGGGTCTGATTTTCACTTTTGGTAACGTTCTTCCTAATAACCAGACCTAATCAGGTTAGCCTGCAAGCTGGAGAGCACTGTGATAATAAACACAAATCCCTGGAGCCATTTCAATTGGAAGTTTCAAAATCTGCCTACCCTCTACACCATTTTTTCCCCTGCTGTCAGAGAAGAATTTGGTATCAACGCTGAGGTCAGGAACAGTTGGGATATAGTCTTGGAGCCTTCTCCAAAGCACTGCCTGTTTGGTAATTAGGAGATTGCTTATCAGCAGGCTAACATAAAGCTCCTCCCATGATGGCTTTGCTGCCAGACTGCTGCAGTGCTGGAAAATGCTAGATCCTAATATATGCTGCAGATTAGCCTTGGAAAAGCAAGACATCAGGGGGTCTGCTTTCAAACTGTGAGCATTCAAGCTTGGCAGTGCTTTGCTACCTTCTACTGCCAGATATTCACCCTGCAACTAATCCCCTTCCTGTGCAAAATCTCTGCTAATGTAAGATGCTAACAGCTTCTTCTGGAAATGAAACATGCAGGACCACAGTGACGAGTCCCTAAATACAAACAAAGAAGCTGAACAATCAGCAAGCTCAAACAGAGTCAAGATAATCACATGAAACATTGAGGAACAACAAGGAAATAACAACAAATAACATGTAACAACACCAAAGACAATTTCTAACAGCACACACTCCACAGCTGTGTGTATGAAGGAAGACCACAGGGAAACAAATAATTACATATATTGTGATTTGCAGCAAGTAGTTACAGGGCTTGTTACCACTTCTTTACAAATAGCAAAGTGGGACTAGGGAATAAGTGGAGACATTAATGGACTGGAGTTAATGGGCCCTTAATACAGGAGTTAAAAAGAGAAGAGGGGACATCTTCCTTTATGATATGTGCCCTACTAATTGCACCCTTCTTCCCTTATGGGAAGAAAGTCCAAAATATTATACCTCTTCCTTCACTTCTTTAGTTTAGTTTATAACCTGTAAGGTACAGAGTTACTCCAAAGAAAAATGCCAGAATGGTCTGCTGGCTGGTGGTGAGAGCCTTGATGTTTGCTGAAGCCAGTGGGAAGGCTCCCATGGATTATCAAGGGTTGTGTCAGCCTGCTCTGCTCAGCAGGTCCCATCTGGCAGCTGCTGTGCCCTGGGGAGCTGCTCCCACACACAATATTGTCCCTTCTGCTATCAAGTATAATAAATTCTTTTCTACCAGCAAGTAATACACAATATTATCCCTGGAACAACCCAGTAGCTACCTGAGAACTGCAGAGGACTGGCCAGGCTGCAAGGTCTGCTTCTCCACAAGAGTGCAGCTTTAGTAAGAAACCAATTACAGAGCTTGGAGAGTAAATAAAAATCTGTATCCTTAGACAAATGATTCCTAAAATTGCCTCAGTGGTGGGAATAATGGTGCATTTAATAGCAAAGCACTTAGCAAGGTATGGACATTCCTCTCCCTGAGCCTAATGAAATCTTTCTGACCAACTTATGTGGATATTGTCATTTTAGATTTTCCTTGAATCATATTGCAAATCACTGGGGCTGAAAATGTCAGTCTGAGGGCAATGGTATCTGCAGAATATGTCTACAGGAAAACAAACTGCTTCATCTGCAGTTGCATTACATACATGTTTTTCTGTAGTTCCTCCTAGAAGAAGAACTGTGCTGCACTCCGATTTGTTTATGAAAATATTCACCAGTGACAAAACTGAGTCCTAGTGCCTGGCTGAATAAATACAAGTTTTTAGAAAGGAGTATTTGATAAGGATGTTTTTGGAGCATTCTCAGTGTGTGTCAGACATCCTGGAAACCCTCCCTTCAGCTTTGGGTGTTACAGTACCTTGAGAAGACACTTCTTGAATCAAAGGCAGTGAAAGGAACACCAGGGATATGCAAAGGATGTTCCATCTCATTGTTACTTTCAGGTATGACATCGTTCCTGAAAAGAAATAAGCTGGCATCACTATGTGCAATTCAATCAGCCCACAGTTAAAAAAATATAATACTGGTTTGATAACAACATAAATAGCAAAACTGTTCAAGGACTCTTTACCCTATATTACTCTATAAATTATCATGATTATTAGTTGATCAGCTGTTAAATTTTGTACTAAGACTACCAAAATTCATTATTAACAAGTAACAGAAGTAATTTTATGCAGAATTTTATTATGTGAAGGCTGCAGTCAGTCTTCTTCTAACAAGGGTGTACTTCAGCACAAGAATTTGTAAAGTTATAATATCGGTAAATATAAATATTTATATAATATACAAAAATATAAATATAAATATAAAGGAAAAATATTAAGCAACATAATTTTATAAACCTTAATCTGTTTTTGAAATATTATTGGTGAAATATAACAAATGGACATGTAGGCTAATTTCTGTTTCAGTTCTCCTTTGGAAGGAAAGCTGTGGGTAGAGGTGAGTGCAACACTTACCTAACAGAGAGTGTGTCTGCTCCCTGAGATGCTCCAGATGCCTTTTATACTGCTTGGTGACTGTGCTGGGGGTCACTAATTACACACATTAAATCCAACCGCCGATGACAGCTTATGACAGCAAACTTTCCACAGGAGCTGGAAGAGGTCCTGAATGACTGGACTAGCACAGCATCTGGAAAATACTCCCATTAAGAAAAAAGATTACAGAAAAACCTAAATAGGGACTTACTCGTCAAAACACATTTTGATTACTGAGGGAAGTGAACAAATTGTCCTGAATGCAGCTGGAAAGACTCAGAGGGTATTGCAGAGCAATAAAAAATCATCCCAGGCCAGTGCTGAGGGGATTTTCTTTCCTGTTGCACAGAGCTTAGGTGACAGTAGCCTAAAATTATGCAGCTTTATCTGCTACTGACGGTGTATCTTCTCCAAAAAGCTGTGGGGGCCAGTTCATACAGACAGAAGGAATTCACCCATCCTACACTGAATATGGAGAGCTTTTCCCTGAACTGAAGGGAAATGTTGCCAAGGTGTTGGCTAGAAATTAAAGAGTGTAGTCAAATCTCACATTTATTGACTGTGTGACACATAACACGTCAAAAATGAAGGAAAGAGCCTTAAATTGTTTCAATGGTCTTTGTTGGTTTCAGATCAAGGATACTGGAGGCAGTTATTTGTAACTCTCAGAGCTAAAGGAGGTTTTAATTGAAATCTTTAATGGTCCTGACTCTCAGGGCTTGGGAGAGAAACTGTATGAGAAACTGCACTAAAAAACTGAGAACTTTGCTATTTCTGTCTTATGATATTACTTGAATCCCAAATAGTTCTGTTAGCCCAAAATAAGAAATATGGCATAATATAAGTTGCTCCCAGCTGAGGAAAGGAGTTCAAATGGGCACGAGTCTCTTCAGGAAAATGCGGCAGACACCTCTGAACAGGAAGGGTTTAGGCACATGCTTGAATGTGTCCCTCTCTTGGTCTGATGACTGCAGCTTTAGGGGTTTTATGCTAGATTTTCTTTCTGGTTTTGCATTATCACAAAAGAGACAGTTTCATTCAGTCTCTCTGCATTGTGTCCTGAATGGAGTACTTTGAGGGTCTGAGATTTCGTGGCGTTTGTTCCAGGTAATACATAAAGGAAATGCATATTCCATGTTTTATAATAAGAGTTTCAGTGCTGCCTTTAGTGGAGCTGTCTGGAAGCTAGACAAAGAAACCCAGGTTTGAGAAGAAAGGGGCCTGTCTGGGGGTATTTAAAGCCTGGAGAAGAAGTACTGTTTAGGGGAGCTAAATAGGATCAATATGATGAGATAGCTTTCCCAGAAAACTACTTTTTAGTAGTTTTCTGGGAAAGCTATCTCATCATATTGATCCTATTTAGCTTATAATTTAGTTTATTTATAATCTGATAAAGCAAAACATTTATGACTATGTTATTGAGTATATCCTTGCTTTGATATCCATGATATGGAGGAGACTTTTTGTCTCTTCCATCATTCCAGAGTGAGTGCTACTGTGAGTCCTAGGTAATACTGGCTGGCTACCTGAGGTGAAAATATCTACATAAAGTAGTAAATAAATCGTGACAGAAGATCAAAAGTATTCTGTTAACATGCTAGGACTCAAGTCATCCAAAGACAATTAGGTCCATACACAGCTTGAAATATGGGTAGCCATGACTGGCTGCTTCATTTATTGTGTTATGGATATGTTCCTTTTGGTAGGGTTGTGTTGTTTCACTTCTCTTGTGAATGAAGTTTTTGGGTTGTTAGAGGTGACACGGGGCTGCAAATTTTGTGTGAAAATAATTCCATAAATGGATCAGTGGGATGTGAGCAGCACTTAAGGCACCTTTACATTGCAGTGCCAGTGGCGTTGAGGGGGCGCCTTTGCAGGCACTGCACAGAGGGTGGTCAGACAGTCAGATGGGGCTGGATCCTGACCAGCTTCTGCTGCTCTTCCCTCGGTTTGCAGGCATGGGCTTTGAAATCCTGCTTTAAATTATTGTGATGGGTTCTGGGAGGTGGCTCTGGGGGCACTCGTGCTGGGCAGAGTGTGCTCACTGCTGCTGTGCCAAGGTGGGTGTGCCAGGCAGAAGAGCCCTGACAGGAATAGTGGAGCAGGGGCAGGTGGAGACAAATCCCAACCATCTGTGGGTTGAGCTCCATCTGAAACAGAGCAATGAAACAGGGAGAGTACAAAGTGTCTCATTTCCTTATTTTGATTTCGGCTGCATTGAGGGAAACAGGACTCATTGCATTCCTGAGGACTAAAGAAGGATAAGATAGATTTATCTTGAAGCAGCACAAGGGAACTGATATTGTGGTTAGTCACTCCAACCACAAGAGAGAACCCTATTTTTCATCTCATTTTCACTGCTTCAGCTATCTTATCTGTATTTCCCAACTTCAGGAGTTGATTGCAATTTTTAAAAGAAAAGGGTGGAAAAAAAGCCTTTCCTTACAATCCCTGCCCTGTTTATGTCCTGAGATCATCCCAGTTACAGTCCCATTGCTGTTATTTTTGATTTCTGGACTAACATGCCTTGAGTTTGACAGAGGCCCTATTGCTTTTTCAGTCCCATCACTGATGCCCACTGTGAACCCATCAGCATCCCCAAAATATCCCCTCATTCTTCTTGCAGTGCTCTGAATCCCTGGCTCAGCTGGCTCTGAGATCTGCTGGGGTGTCCCAAAGGGATACAGAGAAGCTGAGCTGAGGAAAGGGAAGAGAGAAGGGAGCTGGAGTAGTGTTGGCCTGTTAAACATTCACGGAGTAGTGAACCTTTATTTCACCATTAATTTGCAGGAATCGTAGCAGGAATGTAACTGCAAGTTAAAGGAGAGTGCTGGAAGTGTCATTTAATGAGTTACTGAGAAAAACTGTCAAGAATCACAGAAAATGTTTGCTCTTGCAGGAAGGACTGACACATTTTCAGGGTTATGGTCTTGAAGGGGCAAGAAAAGAAAATGATGTAGAGGAGGTAGAAGCCCTAATGTGGGAGGGGCATGGGATGGCAAGAAGTTTTTCTGGGACATCTGCTAATCGATCAAAGGATGCTTCCTTGTGTTGCCTTCTACAGTTGGTCACGTTTTTTCCATGCACCACTGGCAGCATTTTAGTGGCATATTTTATTGATTGTAACAAAAAGCAGTTAATTTTGAAGAGCACTTAAAGATAGCAACTTTTGAGACAGAGGAATATTAACACCATTGCTTTCCTTTGATTGATGAGTAGCAGTAGCATTGCAATGAGTTCTCTGGTAGCAAACTGCTGTAATAAGGGTCAGATGCTCATATGCATCCTCCAGCTGATGTAAATACAGATTTACTGTATTTACAATCCCTAAAAAGTTCAGAGACTTGTGTAATAGCAAGAAGTAGAGAGAAAAATCAGACTCAGGAAATACATTTGTCCTCTCAAAAATACCAGCTGAGCCCATCACAGTGGGTGGAGGATGAAGGATACAATGTGTGTGTTTGGGCTATTTTTATAGTACTACCACAACCAGTCGGAGAAATGGTTTTTGTTCCAGAAGAGCCTTTGAACTCGGTGCAGCTGCAGCTATTCCTGAGGATCTTGAGGAGCAGGAGGATGTATGGAACTGGACTTGGCTGAACCTTGGCCCTACGGCCATCCCTTTATTGGTCTCATATTTCTCAGTGGGCCCTGATGGGTTCCTCTAAGAGAATTGTAAAGGTTTTCATCCCAGAGCTAGAGCATGGGTTTATCTGAGCTAGACTGCAATCTCATTTTAGTGGAATCTGTGCTCTGATTCATATACAACAAGGCAGACTTTTAGTGACAGAAAGTTACAGGGAACAGTCTTTTGGAGGGTGTCTGGCAGAACAAGATCTCAGTAAATAGGGAATATTCAACTTCTCTTTCTTTCCCAGTATAGGAATTATTCCTCTCCTAATTTGAGCCTGGTTAAATGGATTTTGCTTTGGATCCAGATAGCCTGTCAAAAAGTGGCTTCTGTTTCATAAACCTGTCTCACTAAATGAAGTCCATTCCACATTGTTTGCTCTTTTTTTTCTCATACAGTGTATGGGCTAATTCTGCTGAATCACGGCTGGAAGAAAATGAGATTTAACAATAGGAAGAAGAAAAATCATACAAGATTTGATTAATGTGAAGGATGGCGGAGAATGAGAAGAGTAAAGAAAATGAACATAAGAAAGGTAAGAGCATGAATTTATACATGTCTGTTTCTAACATAAGAAATGATGAGTTAAATAAGAATTCTCAGTTAAACAGTAGTAGCTGAATTAGCACAGGCTAATTTGTGAATTTGTGAATGAAAGATGCAGCAAATTCTTTCAGATTAGTTACTTCATTACCCTTTCAGGACAGTTAGAGCCTCCCAGAAACAGTCACCACTTTTTATATGGCTGACAAATAACTCCCTCAGTTTGGCAAAATAGCAGTGAAAAGGTGTCAGATGGGTTTTTTCAGACTTGGTATGAAGTAATTTCTGTGTAACA